GAAAAAAAAAAAAAAATGTGACAAAAAAATCATCACTAATCCTCCTGGGTTCTTCATGGTGGCTGCAGTGAAAATATAATTTTGAGTTCTAACAATAGAAGTAAGAAAAATTAAATAACCAAATATAGAACCAAAAAATGATATAGAAATCAAAACAAAATTGTTAAATTTATCCTGACACATAAGTTTGAGAGGTAAAAATTGCATCCCCACACTTTTCACCATTCACAATTCTTTTTTCTTCTTATGATAAGAGAGAACCACTTGGGAGGCTAACTCATGCACCACAGCTCAAATCTCCTCAACTTCACAATGTAGCCAAAGTATAATATGTTAAAAACACTTTTCAAGTGACCCAAATTTTAATATATACATATACACACATTACAAATTCTTATATTAACCGTTAGGCGTTAGGCAGATCGACCCGTTATATTTACCTTATCTATGGAGCACACCAGATGATGTTCTTTGAGAGCTAACCTCACTCTCTTCATCATCCTCCTCACCGCATTTCTCTTCCCGATCGCTCGGGACGAAACAAGAATCAAGAATGACGCTTTCGCCCTTGGGCTTCTTCAAGCCCTCGTCTATCCCATTGTAGTCCCGCACGACCGGTTTCCCATCCTTTCCAAGAACGCCCGCCTCCAAATCCACAAAGCTTGGCTTCTTGATGTCGGAGCCGAGGTATCTCCCGTAAAACGAACCCGCAGTCGACTCGTCAATATCGTCGACCGTCACCCACTCGCGGAAGTTGACTTGCGAAGGCACAGACTTCGAGAAGAGAATCTCCTTTAGGTTGTTAAAAGCCCCTTCATTGTACGGGTTTTCCTTCGTGTCGTAACGATATCGGAAGTTCTCGTACGTCGTCTGTTTTTTCATCAAGGAATACGTAACGATTAGGCCTATAAACGAACCAGAAATCAAGTCAAGCTCGGCTCATTAAGGCCTCGAGCTCGAGCCTTAATGAGCCGATCTCGAGCTTTAGCGAGCCGAACTATAAAAAGATTATATAAAAATTCCCTTTTTGAGCCTTATCGAGCTGAGCTCGTTAACCAAACAAGCTTTAAATGAGCTCGAGCTCGACTTGTTAAGGCCTCGAACTCGAGCTGAACTAAAGCCGAGCTCGAACCGAGTCGAGCCAAGCTTGCTTAATTTAATAGCACTAGTAACGATATATACGGATTAGGCGAATTAAAACTTTTCGCATAACATAATTCGATGGGAAAAGCTAAAAATTATTCGGCAAAAGAGAGAAAAAAAAAGTCTGAGTAACCTGATTGGTGCACATAAGATAGAAGTGCAAGACGGTAAGTCCACCGACAAACCAAACCGAGATGAAGCAGTAAACGAGAAGGATAACCGATAACACGTCTCGTGACATACTTCTCCAAAGTGGGCCCGGATCTTTGAGCAAATTCACCAAAGAGAACGTGAAAACGTGTATGCAAAGCAATGTTGATGTCATCACAAACAAGATGAACGTTCTGTAGTTTCTCTGCGCAAAGAAATGACGAGTATTCTCAATCAACTCCATTCAAGCATTAAAAAAGTATCACACAACAAGAATTTCACACGCTGTATAAATTCTAATCTAAAAGTGAAATAAAGACTTCAATAATATTCGGTTTTCTCCTCTCTGACATAGCCAAATCAGTGTGTAACACTTCATAGATCATTAATTTTATGAGATGAATACAATCTTAACTCAATCTGGCATTTATTTATTTATTTATTTTCAAAATAGTACTTACAACTCCAATACACTGGCCAACCCAGGGGCAGTGATGGTCGAACCTCTCGACACAGTTGTTGCAAATGGAGCAATGGGAAGCACGAGGTGGCCTGTACAGCAAGCACGTGTCGCAAAATTTCACCTTTACTGTGTGCCCGTTCACATACACATCCTTCAATCTTGGAATTCTCAAAGAGGGTGTTTCGCAGTTTATCCAGTCAATGGATGCCATAGATATCGAGCGGCTGTCAGAATTGGGCAGCCGGGAGTTCCTAGGTATTATTCCCGGGTTTCTCGAAGCCGTCATGTAAAGAAAAGTCAAATCCTGTTGAAAACAAGACAGAAAAAGAAGTTGCAAATGTGAAATGTGATGAGTTTTTTTTTTTTTTCGAAACGATAGAAATGTTATAAATCAAAAGGTCAATAGTGAGCTGTAGTAGTTCACAAAATCAAAAAAAATTGAATAGGATAAACAGTTCTTTTGAGGAAGAATAATAATATAAGTGCCATTTTCGTCAAAACGACGAATCAGAAATCTAAAACGCGCAATGATGAACCAAATTTCGACACTCTTTTCATTCGAAATGCAGATAATTCATTTTTCTCACCAAACACGTGAGGACGAGCCCCACAGTCAACACGGCCCGGCCGTACAAGAGATCGGCTTCCGATATTCTCAGAAGCATTTTGAAGCAGAAAGTCAAAGCTGGCCCCCCAATCAGTAATGTTGACAACATAACGGATGGTGCATCGGGACCAAAGATCAATCTCCCCCCACACAGGAATTTCTGAAAAAAGAAAAAAAAAACAATATAATCAAGAAAGCTCATATGAACACATATTCTTAAAATGATTTCATCCTTTCTGTTGAACCCCAAGAAACTAACTAGCAAAAAGGTACTCTTGTTCGAAACCAAATTTCGATTCAAAACTTTCTCCACGATCAAAATTTTGATGAAAACAATAATGGACAAACAAAATTTACAATGAATTTAAAAAGACAAGGAACCAAAAGCAAC